AGGCCGTCAAATACAGATGCTTTGGGACCCTGGGAATGAGACTCAACAATCAAACTTCTTTCTGGCCTCTGACAGGTTGTTTTCTTTCAGGCCCGGTGGATTATAGAAAGAGTTTCAGCAAAAACGACAAAAAATATCAAATAAAAATATTAAAATTATTACTACCGCTGCTTTAAGAGTAGGTTTATAATAATTAAGCTAGAGTGAAGCATGTATTTCTCATAGAAATGAGGGTGATAAGGCTAGAGAGTGAAGGGGAGTACAGGATAGAATGTGGAAACTGTGAGTTAGAAGACAAACATATTAATATAGTAGCCAGCATTCCTTCTGTTGCATCTCAAAGTTTTTAGACACACCATCATTAACAAACAGGCTGGTTGAATGGGTGGCCAGCACTATGTTAGTCCAAACATTAGTTAGTTAGTCCCCCCCACCCCCCTTCAGAAAGTATTTTACTGTGGTAACAAACCAGACATTACAACAGGTCACGTTCATGTGATGGAAAGCAGAATTAGAGTGGTAGGAAGCTCCTTCTACAGCGTTCTAATTGCTCTGGAGAGAAGGTCCACCAAACTCCATTTACAGTTTAGATCATTTATGTCACTTCACTGCTGCCTTGTTTATCGTCCAATGTAAACAGCTCTCAGACAGCCGTTTTACAAGCCGTCACCGTCCATTCCTTGACGCAACATGCATCCAAGCATCCCACTGGCGTTAATTCAACAAAGTATCAACTGTTCTGGGAGGTTCGCCGAAGGGAACAGTGACATTCCCGCATTTGGTAACAGTTAGCTTACCTTCACATACACAATTACACTATGCTTAAATGGGTTTTCGAAGCCCGTACTACTCTAGGGACTGAAGTTTAATTCAGACATTCTCGTTGCTGGGTTAATTATATCTTAGCCGAATTGAAACACGGCTCCAAGAATTCATTTAAGGTGAAAACTAGACAGTGCCCTTGGCGATAAGCAAGACAGAATCAAAGTGACAGACTTTTGAGTAACTACTCTCCATTGGAGCAAACTACTACCCCCTTCAGAACTTTGAACCACTCTGCTAATGGATGCAGCTCTGAGAGGTGAACAAACAGCTAACTGTTCTACAAGCTATTTACCTTAACGGACCAGTTGTTGGTTAGCGGGAGAACCGGGAGGTGTAGCAGGAGAAAGGAGCAGACCGGGAGAGCTAAGCCTCCGTTACCGAACATGGTTCATTCATGTCATGGACCGACAACACTTCTCCTCCCCTTACCTCTGCTCCCCTCCTCACTCCCCTCTTTCCTCCTCCCACATTTCGACCCCCTTTTGATGTAGCTACGCCTTCTGGTGTTGCTAGGGCTCACACGCATACGCGCGCGCATATGCGCGCACTACACACGGTATTGGTTCACATGGTTCACATTTTGGGTCTCCTGCTTTAAGCATTTTGGTTTGTTTCGGTTACAGTTGTTTTGGGTGTTTTTTGTTTTGTTTTTATCATTAGAATTTATTTTGTAGGTCTGGCATATTTCAAGTTGTGTTATTCTACTACAGGGGCGGACCTAGAGAAATATTCATGGGGTGGCCAGAGGGTGGCATGGGATCTATACAGGTGGCATGGAGTGGCAGCTGCCACCCTAGTAAATGCTTGGTCACCCCAGCTGCCACCCTAATTTGGTATCAAATGTTGTAAAAGTCAACACATTCATTTAGATTCATTTTACAAGTTAAAACAGAAATGAATTTAATGATCTGTTATGGCTACATTTTACACTAAATGATAGGCTTAAGTTTAATAAAAAAAATACTGGAAAAATGTCTTTTGGGAATAAAACAATTTATCACAATGTATTTCTGCCAACCCTTAAAGTCCCCCTGCCACCCTCTGCCTACCCCATGAATATTTCTCTAGAATCCGTCAAGAATTTCCCCAATAGGGGATTAATAAAGTATATATCTTATCTCATCTTATTGTGGCACATCAGTGAAGCATTGAATAGAAATATCTAAAGGTGGCATTAGAAATCAATAAATAGTTTTATTTCCAAATCT